ATCAGATTGAACGATTCCCTAGGAATTGACTTCGCCGAAACCATGGCCCGACTTTGACCTGCCATAGGTCAGCGACCTTACAAGGTACATCTAAATTTTTACGTCCAACGATCCGCTATTCAATTGTCTACAGCTATGCAAGGTTTGGCACGGCTGCACCGCGCCGTTAGGAGACCATTCTGGAAACATATTCGGGTGTCAATTTGACCCCCACCCGAGCGCGTGTTAATAAGACGAAGTTATTTCAAGGTTAAAAGTTTGTTGCATGTAAAAAAGACTGCGGTATCAACGTGGTTGGGCGCAGCATTTTTTACATTAACAGAGCACTACACCGCAAATATATGGTCAAAACAAACAAAACAAAACACCATTGCGCTCACAATTAAACAAGAGATATGTCCGGTTAGGTTGTGTCGCAAGTGACATGGTCTTGTACATATGAGCATGCAAAGCTGAAATAGTTCGATTTTCGAGACAATTAAAGATCCTAACCGATATAATGGGACCAATTTTCCCCTAGTAACCTACAACTTATCACCATCGCGAGATCCCGTTGAGGCCAATCCACTTGATTTTCTATAACCTTTACCTTTCTTGGTTTGGGGATAGTACGGGGGTCGCATCGACCCCCGCATCAGTCCGCGTTATGGAAAACGGCTTTTCAGGGCGCGAGTAAATCACGGTTAATTGAGTTTTACGCCTGTTTCACTTTCATGTCTCCGTGCCTGTAATACTCTGTTCTCGCAGCGGGAAAGAGACGGGAGCCGTTTGTCGTCGGCAAAGAGGGCCGCGCTGGACACGGCGGTCGTAAAAGGTTGAAAGCCTTCTGCATTCCACGTCGCTATGAGAAAACGTAGTGCTTTTGCACCTTTCACCTGAGCTAGTCGTTTCTCATGTCAGCATTAGTTCACCAGTTAGCACTTAGCAGTTTATCATTTAACCGTCCCCCAATTTGACATGTCGACATTTACCTTATCGTCATTTTGACATCACCGTTTATTCTAGTTTACCATTTAGCAGTTCGCCAAATTGACATGCCCGCTTTTTGACATGTCGCCATTCGCCACTTTACAGTTCACCATTCAGGCGTTCAGCATTTGGGCATGTCGACGGTTTGGTATGTCGCCATTTTGGAATTTGCCATTTAGCAGCTCGCCGTTTTATCCAGTCGTCATTCTTCCATTTATCCACTTTTAAGCTCGCCATAAAGCCGATTCGAGTTTTTGGCATGTCGACTTATTTACATTTCTCCAATATGGAAGTCGTCGCGAAGCAGCCGACAAAAAGGAATTCGGTAAACTGCGAGTCGAATTTTGTCCGGACACCGCTGAAAACGTGTATGAGCATATAAACATGCATGAAACCATAGCCAAATTACGATATCACCACCGTGACTCAGCCGACCATCGCCGGAGGCGAGCGACGCTAGTGGTGATGACGGAGCAATTAGTGGCGAGCAGGGGTTATCCCCTCCACGACCGTTTTCCTTCCGCTGGCCAGCCCGCCCCATGAGCCACTCTTTGTGTGCAGATTCGCTGTCGCAACGATCGCGTCACCGGGGGTTACCCATATCGGCGGCAAACATGTCCCCGTAAAGGCCTGACCACCGCGTCTGCCAACCGCGCGTCGGCCTGAGCCGCAGTCACCGGCAAACAGCCGCGGTCACCGACAAGCAGAAGCGGTCACTAGCAAACGACCGCGGTCACCGGCGAGCAGAAGCAGTCACTGATACACAGCCTCAGTCACCAACAAACAGCCGCGGTCACCAGCAAACAGCAGCACGAATACAGAGTTCTGAGTCGCGCGGTTGCTTCGACGCGGTATCCGCATTCGCGGGCAGCGCACGCGGTGCCTTGAACTTTGAATGGAGCGGCCCAGCCAGCGTGACCTCCCCCCCCCCCCCACGCTAGCCCATCAGCCTGCCCTGCTTGCTGCCGAGGAGGCGAACAGGCGAGGCCGGCCAGCAGCGCGGAGATGACGCTGCTCAGCTGGGGCCGGCGCTCTGCACATGTACCCACCTGATCAGGCCCCGGACTGCGACGGCTGGGCTGCGGCGCTGCCCCGGCCCGGTGCGCTGTTGCACCCAGCGTCGCGCCACCCAGCCACCCGACGGGCCTCTGTCAGGAGGTTCACTACCGTGCTTTGGTAGGGGTTTGGTGGAGCAATGCGGGAAGTGCGGATCAGACTTACACTAGCGGGACGAATGGAAATCGTGCTGAAGATTTTGCACACTACAGCACGCATTAATCAGCAACACAATATATTTCTGGAGCTGCCGCAAAGTACATGACATGGGCTTAATCATGTCTGCAAGACTCGACAGCGGTTACTAAAAACCAGACGTAATAGAGAGGTGACCAGCATGACTGGCGCATAACATATGGAGTCTAGATATAGCCCAGACGCCGGGCACCGGAGAGGTTATCAGCACGACTGGCGCAGCGTCCCCCGGATGACGAGGCACACTGCGTAAGCATGACTCAGCATATTATGTCACAACGCAAACCCATGGTTCAGGTAACGGGCGCAAGAGGGCAGGTCGGCCGTCACCAGCAGGAAAACGTTATCAAGCCCGAACTTTGCTTTTCTCACGACACTTATGCAGGGGTCGTGTGGAGTGAGGGAAAGAGAATGCGGTTCAATCAACCCGCCTCCGCTCGAAAGCGGAGACTGCGGAGACAAGGGCCACTACTGGACCGCAGTGTACCAATAACGAACCAGGTCAAGCTGCAAGACCAGTTGTTTGCATGCTGCCCGTTTAATGGCTCCTTAAATCAGTTTTCTCTTGGTGGAGACCTGTCAGCCAGTTGTAAAGTGACGGAATCTCGAGCTGACACATCCCGGCCTTCCCGCGTCTCAACCCGCGCGGGAAACGGAGCAAGCATAGAAGAAAGTGTGCAACCAGCGCGTGACGTCGCCGCTGCTGATATGCCTCGTCAGCGGAAGTCGCCGCGCGTCGCAGGTTCGAGACCGCCATCCGGTCTGGGGTGACTGGCACGGGCGGTGACGGCGGCCACTCTAACGCTGGCGATTTCGCATCAGCGGCTAATAGGAAAATGGTAGCAATAAAACGCACGTTTTGCAATCACGTGGCGGCGTGCCTCCGGAGTTTCCGGTCTGGGAATGCCGGGCTGAGCCTAACAGCTGCCTGTCTCAAGGTCAGACGGGGGGGGGGGGATGACTGCGAAGAGAGCCCCCAAGGCGGTGTTGGCATGGTGCAGAATCGACATCCTCAGAGACCCAGAAGACATCGTAAGAAAAAGAAACAGACAGTAGACAAATCCTCGAAGAAGCCTTTCTACAAAGGGCCAAGGACTTGTATGAGACACAACCCTAGAGCCTGATACTTTGACGATTTCGAAAGTGGACCGGCTGCTGCCTAGGCACTCACATTCAGGCGGAAACAGCCAACATAACCCTAGAGCCTGATACTTTTACGATTTCAAAAGTGGACCGGGTGCTCTAGGCACTCACATTCAGGCGGAAACAGCCAAATCACATTTGTTATGCAGCATAACTTTTTCCGTTCTAATCGCGAGCATTTTGACGGAGCACGTCGCATGTACGTGAAGTTCGCGATCTATTAGGTGGTGTACTTAGCATCGAGTTTCAATTTTGTTCAAAACGTCCTAGCCGATCAATTATGGTGTGAGAACATCGAATCTGACGTCTCATATTCAGAACCACGTAACATTCGAAGGCAAATTCATGGTCAAACGACGGGGAACTCCATATCACCGAAAAGTTTCCGGCCGATTTCGAATTTTTAAGCATCAAAATATTCAGCAGCGTTTGAAGCAACACCTCACGAAGGTCTCAGTCTCTCTATGTCACCCATCAAGGTCAAATTCAGGCTCAAAGGACTGGGAACTTCACCGGAAACCTCGGTGTGATATGGAGTTCCTGTCACCTGACAATGAAGGATGACCTTAAGGGGTCAAGGCTTAAGGCAGACGACAGATCATACCCTGATAAATATTCTGATATTTAAAAATCTGAAATCAGCCGGTAAAGTTTGGGTGATACGGTCCTTCGACCATGAATTTGGTTTTGAAAGTTGACCTTGAGATGTGAAGTCAGGTCATGCGCTAGTGAACATTCTGATGCTAAAAAAATAATAGGCCCGTAACTTGTGGGTGATATTGAGTTTCCCGTCATTAAGCATGCATTCTATCTTGAAGGTAGCCGTGAGAGGTCAGGACTTCTTGACGGACGCCGTTTACGCGCTGAATACTACTCTGAAACTTAACCGTCCAAATTCGGCCGTAAACGTTTTGGTGATATGACAATCCCCGCCATTTGACGAGCTTTACATTGAAGGTCACGTGATGTTCAAAAATAGAAGTCTCTGGCGCCATATTTTACCACCGGTCGCGTTTTCAACGAATTAAGAACTCCTCGTGGCATAGTCTGATGAATAAATCACTTACTTCACGGACGTCCACGTGGCACCATGCCAAACATCCTGTAGGACAATCGAACCCATTGCTCGCGTTGATTTCACCACTTCAACATGCAGGACAGTTGGGAATTACGGGACGGAAACCAAGAACGTCGGCAGAGTACAGGCCGTCTTTCGCCAGTTAGCATCAAATGCAGTCGCGCGGTGTCGCTGGTGAGCATTTCACAAGACAGCGCGCATGGTCGTAGCCAAGCCTTAATATTGTGTCGGGATCCTTTCCGTTTGTGCCATCAGACGTGGCCAAAATACAAAAATAGTCCGATCCGCCTAGAACGTGCCGAGGTCAGGGCCATAACTACCGCAGATGGAGTCCAGCCCGTGGCATTATCTGACCGCGTACAGAACAACAAGCCGCTAGCCACGCGTGCACTGCACGCAGAAAACAAGAGGAAGTCGAGCGGGTGGCAATTATCGATCGTAGTCGACACCAATCCGCCCTGATCAGACACCATGCAGCTAATGAGTATTTAACCAGACGCCTGTAATGTTCATCGATCCCGGTCCACCCCGACCCCCACTCCAAATTGTCGCTACTCACCCGACCCCAGGTGTTTCGTCTCCTGCACCATGACGCCTCCCTTGTCGTTTCGGCGCCGCCTCTTCCCCACGACCGTCCGCCGCCGACTGAAGGTCAGACTAGGCGCCGACGCCGATAGGCCCGACCGAGGCACGTGCACCGGCGCCGGGGCCGGCCGGCGGCGTGACGTCACAACGGCCGCCGAACGGGGGGAAGGGGAGGGGCTGCGGCAGAACGTGGCAGAGTTCCGTCGCGGCTCGCCGGCACAGTTTATCGTGGATCCGGCCAAGCTATGTGTGATAACTTTGGAGACTGATGGCGCACTGGTTTGCCGCGATGTAGCCATGGTTTGTTATCCATGCGGAGGCGATTTACCGCGCTGAATGGGACGAGACCGGATATTTGCCCAGTCATCAATGAACGCGTGCGGCGCTTGGTTCAAGGCAAGCAGAATGCGGCAGTGGAAGATTATGAGCACGCGTGCTGCAGTCACACGGGGGCACGCGTTGCCTTGGACACGCGAGTGCGGTTCATGTAGCAGTGCACATGACAAGAACCGACCTGGTTAGCCTCTACCTGACTCAACAGATACAATTTTTGCTCGGCCAGCTACCGTGTGTGTTTGTTGTTGTTTTGTTTTTGTTTTTTGTTTGGGCCGACAAATGTACTCGTGGAAAGTTAAAAGTATCGTAAGTTCATATCTAACCCACTTCCAAGAGCCTTAAATGAGATGCTCTACATATGCACGGGCTTTGTCACTGGGACCACCATTCTCAAAGTCGCGTCTTGTCACGTCTCAGTAAGACCCTTCGTAAAACTTCAGACCCTCTTGTTTCTGACCCATACGCACGGGAACTTGTGCACACTATTTCGCGCCGTCTCTCGAGTCACCGAGCTACAGGACACACTTTGATATCTGCAATCACATTAGACCCTTTGAAATTCGTGCTATTTTAAACGCAATGGCACATATCTTGCCACGATGGATGGCTTCTCCATACATGATCTTCCCACCCTTCCCACAAATGCGGTGTTATTGGTTTCTGGTACAGCCGGACTAGCTAATGCAGCATCACCTTCACCCATCTGACCTTCTGACACATCGCAATGACATCTGACATCACACATGACACATCTGACACATCCTCCGCATTGCCGGGGCACGCATCTAGTTCTTGAGATAACAGGAGGGATCTGGCAAGTGATAATTTGACCAATTTGACTTCATTCGACCTGTCAAAGGTCATATTCACCATCGCTCAGGCAGAGCTGTGCAATTAGTTCGACGAGACCTTATTTCCATTGCCGTGCTCCGCATGTTTCTACCTTGCTTTGTTTTGAAAAAGGAGGGTCTCCGAGGTGGGAAGAACTCCCTTTCTAAACCGACCCTTATTGGATACTATATTTCTAAGCTTAATGTTTGTGGCGCAGTTGTGCTTTGTGCCCTGCGTCCCTGCTGGGGCGGGGGTGCGGCGGGGGCGCGCCGCCGCCGCGGTGGCTGGTCTCGGGTTTGCGGGCCGGCCCCGGCTCGCGGCCCCCGGCGGTCGGCAGTCACCGCGCAGAGAGCAGGGAGGGTGGATGCACGGTGAGGAGCTGCTGTGGAGCGTGAGGAGCTGTAAAATACAGAAAAGCTTTCGGTGACATACTTGGCGTCTCATTACACTTAATCCTATATTAGCTTCCTAAGAAAGCTAATCCAGCGGAACACTTTCAGCTTCGCTTCGTAGGGCGAAGCTGAAAAATACTCCCTTAGGGTGAGAAATAATTCGGACGATTACGGAACCTTATGTTGCAATGCATGTCAAGATATCCACACGCATGGCCCTTTTCCTATATTAGATGTATGCGACTGTACGGGTCACGAATGGCCTTCAACTGGAAACTAATATGCAACGGTTTATCCAAATGTCGCGGCCTCCATTATATGCCATGGAGGTGTGTGGGGGGGGAGGGGGGGGCGGGCTCAAGGACTGTTGCGAGCGAGCTAAATATAACCTGAGGGTCATATTTTCCACGCCCACGTTTGATGCCCCAACCATTGGAAAAAATCAGGGATCTAATCTAGCGAAAATTTCGTCGGTGTAGAGCTGGTCTACCGCGGCAAGTAAAACCATGGCAGATTTCATGGCGCGTCGATGTCCTACGCGGACGCTGTGGGCGAGGGCCCACCGCAGTTCACACTTCACGAGTGTCTGGGAGCCCGCGTTTGCGAGTTTGCGTCAAAACTGACCCAACGCCGCTGAAGCTTCAGATGATGCACGGCAAGTTTTGTCACACTGCTGCCATCTGACGGCGGAACTGCGTAGCGATAACGGCTAAAACGCTGAGCTATCTGCCGGGAATTTCTGCGTTCAGTGATCACCCGCTACGTTTTGCACCCATTCCATCGCAGCAATCGTGCAAGGAAGCCAGAGACCGGGTTAGCGACTCGTCTTCCAGTAACTGACATATGAAGCACCAACAATAGATGTTTTGTATCGATAGTGCTATGTAACGCGGCGTTCCAAGCAATCGTTACAACCATCCGCGAAAACCGAAATGCATGGATCAACAACTGAGAGCGCTAACAGGGTCGTTTACAATGAACGTACGCTGGTCACCACACGCTGGACCACACCTGTCTCTGGCAATGACTGCGCAGTCAGACTCAAGCGTACAAACGCCTCCATCACCGCGACTGCGCTGCATTTCTGTGGACAGAGTATTGCACAAAATGGAGCAATTCTACATCCACAGCGCTTGCCCATCCATCGTCAAACACACCTGTGCACTTAAAAAGGATTAAGTGACTCTCCATAACAGGTATTCCATAGTCCTGGGCATTCTCGCCCGCGTTCGGATACTCCGTTTACACAACAAGTAAAAGGTCGAGTAGATGCACTTTGCCTAACCAAAACCACCCCGGAATCAATCCGGCACTCGGAAGTCCATGACTTCATTATTTCATACCGCAACTACTTGGACGATGGGGCTGGCCTTGTCAGCTTCAGTGATACAGCACGTTACGCCGACTTGTGTGGACATCGCGCGCATCCCTGACAAAACGGAACGGCGGCGGTGGCCATGCAGACCGCCCGGGGCCCCGCTATTCTACACGAGGAGACACGATGGCGCTTTCGGCGCCACCAACAAGTACGGGAGGTTACGACCGGGGGCGCTGCCAACGCCCGACTTCGAAAGCCCTGTGATCATGCACCCCGTATATGTAAAGATCACACACTTATGCGCACCCAAAACCCAAATTTGGATGCCTCATCAGCTCGGCTTTCTCGATGGCACCACAACCCATAGATATGCCATAGGTCATCAATCGATTGCACAGTTGGGCGTAAAGGGCATTCATCATTGTCCGATACCATCTACAACGATGGTCTAATTGCCCTCCATGTTGTAGTCTTGGGTGCCTTTCCTGAGGTCCGACAGGAAGCGACTGTGTGTTTCGGTGCTGATCAGGCAATCCTTGACAGCGGGATGTCCTTGCATCCGTGACATCCACTCCCGCTGCGAAAAACACAAACAAGCTCAATACAATGCACGTTGGACGACGTCCATCAACACATCAGCAGTGAATGAAGCTTTCTCTCCTCTTCACCGTAGGCGGCCTTGACCTCGTACCAGATACGGTAACAGCTGGGTCAACCAGTCCACGCAAATGAGAGGCCCGAGCGATAGCCCGCCACCTCAGGCTGAAGTGGGACGCGTAACTCAGCCTCACCATGGCGTGCGGGACATGTTTCGGCCATCCCCGCGGTTCATCGCTCGAGGCGTGCACTGAATCAGACACATTCCAACAAACTCAGCCGCGCTCCGCAGTCAGCTGCACCGAGCGCGGAAGAGACTGTTGAGAGATGTCCGCATCCAGCGCAAGCCGGGAGCAGTGGACTGCGCAAGCGGCCAAGGTGTGTCAGTGTGTGTGACGTGATGTGATGTGAGGTGAGGTGAGGTGAGGTGAGGTGATGTGATGTGATGTGATGTGACATGACGCGACGTGACGTGTCAGTGTGTGTGTGTGACGTGACGTGGTGTGTCAATTTGAGTGGGTATGTGTGGGTGTGAGTGTGAGTGTGAGTGTGAGTGTGAGTGTGAGTGTGAGTGTGAGTGTGAGTTGACGTGTCGCGCCGTGACCACCCACCAGGTGTTTGGCGGAGTCCGGCGACGGCGCGGTCTGCTCCGGCAGGATGGCGAGGCCCAGGGTCTGGAAGGCCGGCAGCCGCTCCATCCACGGCCAGATCATGAAGTCCAGCATACCCGGATGGTCGCCGTGGTAGAAGGGCGTGCCGCGGCGAATCAGCTCCTCCTCGAACGGCTGAGGCACCGTAGGGGCAAAGTTCAGCAGACAGGTGACACAGGACGATCTCATCTAATGAACAGAGCAGGACGAGTTCACAGAGTATTATGCAGGGTGACCTTACCGCTCGCACAGAAAAGCAAGAGCACATCAAGCAAACGGCAAAGAACAAAGTCATCCGACTGACGGCGCAGGACAAGCTCAGTAAACGGACGACGCAGGACGGGCTATTCAGACGAAAAGCGCAGAACGAACTCTTCATATGGCCGGCTCAGGACGAATAACCCGACAGATGGAGAGCATAGGCTCACCAGACGGCATGCACAGCGCGAGCTCATCAAAAGAACAACAGAACTGCCTGGGCTAGAAATGCGTTAATGAGATACGGATTGTCGGTGTCACTCAGAACGATCTGACATTTAGCTTAAAATCATGTCCATTCAGACAAACATGGTGTGGTTAAAAAGTCACAAATCATATGAAATTGGCCCACTCTTGAAGTGCTTTCTTGGATTGGAAAATAAGCTGAGACACCATCATATAGAAAACAGCCGGAGCTAGAGCCTTACCCGCATCCTCTTCCTGGACTTCTCCGCCAGCTCTTGCATCGCCTCCGCATCTTCGGAAAGGCGGAGCGTCTTGTGCATAGTGTTTATACACTGGAATAGATCAGCATGGGCTTCACTTATTCAACCCTACCACAGTCCAGGCCTTGACGGCATGGCATCACCCGAGACAGAAGGCGCTGAAGCCTGAAGCATCATACATATATTTCGACGTTTTCAAGGACATAACGCCCACCTTTTTTATCCATACATGTTGAAGGCAAT